TTTTTTGGAAATAGAAAAGCAGATGATTTTTTGTATTGCAGTCGAAAGTTATAACTTTGTACAGTATTTGTGAAGATTGTTCGTATCAAAAGCAACTTCACAATGATACCTATCATTTGAAAAAAATTATTTGATTAAGCTTGATAAATAATACAGATGTTCGAATTTGCTCGTCTCACGGACTTTTGGAATATCCTGTATTTCATTCGATCTGGCTTCATGTAGTTTAAAAGCTGAAGTTTTTTTTTTTAATTTCTAAATGTAACATAGAGATACACACCATTTAGAACTTGTTCTTTTTAAAAATTAGTTTCAGATGATTTTTTTAATTCTTTGATTTGTTCAATAGACCTCTTCGTCAAAAGTATACCGATCGCAAGTTCAAGATATCCTCTCGAAAAACTATTTATCGATTGATAAAAATCTTGCAATACATTACCAATTAATATAGAGAACAACTATACTGCTCTCTTTTCTTTAACAATAAAGTTTCTGTAAATTATATCCATAATAACTTCAATTCATAGTTTGAGATCAAATGAGCTGTTCTGTATAAATAATTCTCAGATGAGTACCAATCGATTGAAGATTAGCAAGATACCTATAAGTTGTTGAGCTGTATCATTGAGCCAACGAGGATACATGTATCATATTGAGTAGAGGTGACAATGTACGTTCTACGATCGTTGAAGTTCCATGAAGTCTTCTGAAATCTAAAACATTTTGTAAAGTAAGATGAAAATTGTCGAAATCCCGGAGATCGTATTCTTCATCTTGGGTGTGAGGCTTCTCCTTACTCACACCCACATCCACAACCTTTTTATTGATTTCTAGTTTTAAAAGAAATTTAACAAATAATATTAAAAATAAAAAAACATAATGAATATTGAAAGAGTATTTACAAATTCATCTTCAATAGTTGCTGCAAGAAAAAGACCGAAATTAACAACCCGTCAATGTGTTATATTCTATAAACTAAATAAAATACGGTACTTATTAATAAACAATTCTTGCTCTTTGTTCTCCAATTTTCCCAGGTTTAAACTGTTGATTTCACTTCAATTGAAAAGTAAGCGTTTTTTCTTTTGGAAACAGGACGACATGAAACATATTTTATCAAATACCATCCACAATTAAATCAACTTCTAACATGTCAAATACAGGTTTGTCTCATATATTTACTCTCAAAATCGAATAAAGATCTTAGCAACCTAAATCAAAAGAACATAGGTAATTGGATACGAATCGTTTTCTAGCAATTGATGACAAGAAGCGCCAGACTTGTTTTTACTTAGATGAAGTCAGTACTATATTCGAGTAAAAGTTGCCCATATTCATTTAGGAAGGTGTTCCAAGAGTTCCATGCATATCTTCAGCACAACTCGACAAGCTCTAACGAATGGTGTGCTCAGATTTTCGATATATTGAATTAGGATTATCAAGTGTTTCTATAACGCCATTTATCGATGCGAAAATCTAAGCACATCATCAGACACAGTTCGTCAATTTGTGCTGAAGATATGCAAGGAATGCTTGAAATATGCTGCTAAAACGAATATGGGCAATTTTTACTAGGAAATGGTGCTAACTTTACCTACGTCTTCTTTTCCATAGTTCTTTAGCAATATAAACAGACGTTGAACGATATTAACAATAATGCTTAGACTGTTTTAGCATATTCCAAAGTTTTCTTTGAAATTTAAACGGCTGGAATACGTTTTTGAACGTTCTAAATAGTGCAGTTTCTGATTTTTGTTCAGATAAACGATTATAGGATAGATGTCAATGATAATGGCTAATGATGTATAGATTGGCTATAGTCATCATATCTCCAACACAACAAAAAAAGAATGAACTGAACAAATTCTAACTTTCAAGAATAATGAATATTAGTGTTTCGAAGTTTATCGAAATATATAATAACACATTGAGATCTGCTGTGGATATGACGAATGTGCACAGCAGGCTTATTTGTCAGTTAAATCAATTTTAGAATAATAATAATAATAATAATAATAATAAATTAAGAAAAACGAACAAATAGCAATAAAGTAAATGAAAAGAGGCGCGCTCGTAATAAAATAAAAGCAAACAATTCTTGTTGAAATACAGAAATAAATAAGACAGATCGTTTCTCTGACGATCGATTGTTCTCGTAAAGCAACTATCGCATGTTAGAGATTTTTCACGTAACGTATTTTGTATCAGCATCATGGAACTGAAAACGATATTAGAGTTTCACATTTTAGCATCAAAATGGCTGCGTTGACAAGTTTTTAAAAAATATGAAACCCTCCGGTTATGGAACAATTTATAGCCGTTGTTGTCAACAATGCCTTTACATCAAATTTTTTCAAACCTATTGAAGTTTGTATTTTCTAACAAAATCATGTGTTCGCCTTTTTTAAGTAATAGTCCTGAATTTCTTTGTAAACAACAGAAACAATTGTATAATTATGACTTTTCGAATAGCAGTTCTCTAATTAAACGATTATTCTTCTTATTTTAAAATTATATGAGAACAAATGAACCAAAAAGAGTTGACTGACAGTCAAGAATTTCTTCAATATTCGAATTACTTTATATTAACAAATCCAAATTTGTTTGGTTTTTACTAATAATTATCGTCTTAGATCAATGTTCTTGAAAATCTTGCTGTTCTCAATACGTGGGTTAGAATTTCCGAGATATATACTTATCACAAAAGTAGGTTGATTAGATAAAAAAAAGCATGTGAAAATGGCTCAAATTTTCAATCGAAATGAAAATTACTGAGTCATCATAATATAAGTGACATATTATTTAACAGTAATGTCACAACTTCGAATTCCTACCATTGGCAAAAAAAACACAACACCGTTTACCTTGAATCGCTAGAAATTTAATAATTCCTTGACCAAGGAACACTTTTTCTGACGGACGCACAAAAATATTTTCATGGTTGAATATGAAAAAAGTTCATTTACTGGTAAAATTTTATTTTCTATGTATTTTATATATTCTGTTGTTACTAGGAATTGTGTGGGTATGGGTATTCTTTTCTTCGACGTCCACATCCACGCCCATCCAGACACGCACCCATATATCTCTACTCAAAAATATAAAAATATCTGTATGTGCATATTCAATTTATTACATCTCTGAAATTATTGTTCTTATTAGAAACATTGCCAATATAAAAGCTTGATGTTCGACAAGTAGCAAAATGCAAAAAGTGTTTATAAAGACTTCGTTCGAATTTGAAAACTAATTTTTTGAATACATTTTATCGATCAAATGGAACTGATACTTTTCGTATAGTGTTAATTATCAATTCGAAAATCTCAATTAGTTTTTAGGAAAATAAATGATCTTTCTATATACTCAAACAAAAGGAATTTATCCGAAAAACAGCATCATAGAAAATCGAATATCTTTCTTTTTCCATTATTGAATAGATTACAGAAGAAAATAAGGATAATTTCAATTTGCTGACTTATTGTATTTGAGAGTGTAGACATTGTTGTAGCTGTTCTTGAGTCCGTAGTGATATTGATTGTCGAAGAAGCTAGTACAAAATTATTTTACAAATATTCAGTTAGATATAAAGAAAAGTTTAAGCGAAACTGCAAGCAAAAAGACAATTTACGTCAAGGAAGAAAAAGCGGATTCAGTAAACTGAGATTCTCATAAATATTGATGATTTTTTATCAGTCTTGATTGTTTCTGCTATTCTTAGTATCCATCAGGATCCACATTTTCTACATTGATTTCAGATTACCTAAAATTGGGTAGTTTCTGTTGAATTCTAGTGGACTGTAGATTTTTAGTTGATCGCAGTAAGTTCTGATAGATTTTGGATTAGAACTGTGACAGTTTCCAGTTTCAAGAACTATTATAGTTCTTTTATTAGAGCTGAACACCATCTCCGTCAATAGAACCAAGCCAATCACTTGGCCGAGAACTGTCAAACGCCTATTTTCAAGACTTCAATAAATTCATTCCACAATCCACTAGAATCCTTTTGTTTTCTTTAGTTTTGTCAGTCTGTTTCCATACAATCTTTTCTATGAATATAGTTGACCAAAGTATTCGCAAAAGTTTAGTTTATTAGTTTTGAACAGATGTGATTCTATTCCTTCGTTCAAGATTACTTGAAATCAAGACAAATTATAAAAATAAATCTAGATTGATTCAAGAAAAAAAGCGAGACTTCATGAGTGCATACTTTCCCATACATTATTCGTACTTGAAACCTTTTCTTGAAATACGGAAGTGGCACTTCTTCTCTTGAATTTAGTGAATTTCACTTGATCTTCAGTTTCTCTAATTTTTAATTATTGTCGACAACTCTTCATTTACTAGTAACTTATTTCCTACTTATTGTAAAGTCGCTGACAAAAGAACAGATTTTTTTTTTCAAAGCGAGTCTGACAATTTGAAATCGCTCAAAAATGAAAATAAGATCTTATTTACTTGGTTTCAAAAGATTGATTTTCTTATGCTTACAAGATTTTATTTAACTTAGTTTTGAAGTTGAATTCGTTATTCTTAATTAGATTGACTTTGAGTTCCAAGTTTTAACTTTATTTTTGTATTTAATGAAAATATTAACTATTGAGCGCGATTATCAAGCAAGTAACTATGAAGAGATATTACTTGTGAATATAACTTGTTTCTTACTTTGTTGAGCGAGATAAATAGAAAATATAATGAGAGCCGAAATCGTAAACATCAGTAGTATACACGTTAAAACTATCTTGAAAGAGCATCGAACTGATGAAATTAAATTTGTTCTAACAAAAAGAACTATAGATTATGAATTAAATGAAAATAAACAAGACGTACTGAGATGTTACACTGTTTGGCATTGAATGAAAGTTAGTAGTCAGAATGTGAACGGCTGTGTTAACAGTCTCAATGGGCGTTATCTTAAAACATGTGGCAGGTTGAACAATATTTTTCCGCTTCTTTCGGTGTTCATTTACTTTGACTACAATTCGAACTATTTTAGGAAAAATTCATTTGAGAACAATTGTAGGACCACCTTGAAGACCAAGTAGAACAGTGACTGTATAGAGTAAATTGAATTGTTCAATGCAGGTATATGAATACAGCAAAGGTGAACATCGTTCAAAATAGGATGAATAATTAATTGTTGCTATCCATTGCTCGATGAACAAATTATCGATAAGTTCGGCTATTGTGGCATTAATTGAATATTGACTTTTCATTATCGAGAGAGGATTAAGAGAACTTGTAAAATTGATACTTTTTATGTAATTAGTATTGTCTTGAATGAGATTAATACATGAAGGATCATAAAAACATTCAAGAGTTGAGGCATGAAAAGATTCACTTGGTGTGCAGCCTATTCTCAAGCCTTTGATTGGAATGATTTCAGATGAATTTTGATTAATAAAACTTGCTTGACTTAGACAATTCATATACAATCCACAAGAACATTCATCATTATAGATCATAGCTTGAGTACTTGCATAAGTGTCGTGAAGCACTTCACTCCAAGGAACAACATATTCGAAATTCGTTCCATATGTTGATATAACAGCATTTCCATGGTTTACACTTCGAATTAAGAAGAGAAGATTATCAAATATTGTAGGAGCATTTAATTTACTCTGTTCGATTAGCAAATCAAGGCGTTCATGAAAATCTGTTTCTGGTAGAAGTTGAACAGTAACGAATAGTGAAGAAAGAAATTGATCGATAGAATTGTTCACTGATTGCATGGAAAGTTCACATAATCCAGTAAGAAATTGTAAATGAGCAGAGAGAAAACGACGATAGTCTCTTCGTGCGTATACGGAGAGATTAGAAACAAGACCAGATGTGAGATTAATTTGCCATTCATTCGAAACAAATGGACTCGAACAGATCTATAGTTAATGAAAAATGAAAAGAAAATAAATTATTTTTTAACTATTGTTCCAAGATTTCACAACAAGATTATGATAAAATATATAAAATCTCAGATGTGTTGTTCATCTTCGCTAGACAATGACATTTTCGAAAACGTTATCCTGAAAGAATAAGAGATCTGAGATGTTTACAGGTTGGTGCTTGCCCCTCATCGGTTTGGTTCGATTTTTAGCTAAAATAACGTCGTTTAAATCAGTATTTTCAATATTTAAATCGAAAACAGTGAATAGAAAAAAAGAATTTGTCAGTAGTAATGAAAGTATTTAAATCTTTTCTTGTTTTTCTTCGTCTAAGAAAAACATAACGAAAACTAGCTGGCATCTCGACTTTGTCGACAAGGCGACATAAGGTGCGAAGCACGAACATCGACTATGTGAAATAATCGAGTTTCTGAAAAAAACGAAAAAATCGGTTGTAGAGTCAAACTCGAATAGTATCTATCTTGAAGTTGTCTCTATTCCACCAAAAGCAGAGGTTTCTATCGATCATTATAATTGGAAAAAGTTTCATTTCCATCAGTCAGCTGATCAAAATCTGACACAAGCTGGAATATAGCTATTGTAGAATTCATCACTGCGAGAATTCTATGAAAGCTTGTCAACATTCTTCTAAAGAGCATTATCAATTGATCTTTTAATTAACCATATGATTCATTAGCTGTCATCCACTGTACCTACGTCTGTTTCATATATCAGCAAAGAGAGTCGTGCCTGATTTTTATTTTAATTATCTCAAAGTTTGAAAAAAAATTAAAGTCCTGAAAAATTTGTCTTTTTTGGACGCTATTTATATTCGAACAGGATATCATACCGAGAATTGAAAAAAATGAGATTTCGGTTTGATCTCGAACCTGTCACCTCGCACTTGAACGAATATTTTCTGACTTTCAGTTCTCAAGATCAGTGCGACACAAAATGTGAAAAAAATGTGCGTAGGTCTAGCAAGAAATAAATAAAGAAAACTCACGACAAATCACTATATAGGTGTTTCGCACCTTAATAAACCAATTTTATTTTTTAGAGATAAAAAGCATTTACGCAATTCTCTTATGTATAATTAAAAAGACACAAAATCATCTTAGCTTCCCTCTTTATTCATTTTTAACTAAGAAATTTAAAAACCAGTAATATTTCTGATTAAATATATATTGATTAAAATTACAATTTCTTAATTAGTTAAATACTCAAAAGAGGGCCTTCTATTATATCCAAAGCATTGCTTCTTTGAAAGTACTTTCCAGGGGTCCAACGCCACACATACCCCGCATAATTTATGTGCCTGCCACCCTTTATTGTAGTGAAAGGAGTTTAGATGGCAATTGTTTGAAGTAAGACAAACGAGTTGAACTAAAAATTACATAGATCTAGTTATTTATAATGGAGTTTTTTTAGAGCTTTTGTTTTCGCTTCGTTTTAATGTTTGAAAAACTCGAACCGAGTCCATCTCTGCTGTAAAGTGACTTTTTGATCGTATCGAAAACATGGACATACATTTGTATGATTTTGAATAGTTAATAGTGAGAATGTAGTTCCTTTGCGATTATTGCTGGTGAAAATTCGGTTTCATACAGTCAACCCTAAATCACTCGTGAAAACGTCGTTTATCATCATATACGATCACAGTAACAAAGCACTGGAGTATTTCAGACATACCATCTTAAAAGAAACAACTAGATAGCGACATTCGATCTAACGATGGAACTATCCAAGGTGACAACTCTCGTCTAAGATGAAACACTCATGACTAGATAGACCCTAATGAGACGAAAAGTAGCCTAGAAAAATTCTTCGGCATATGCTGTCCTTCTGGGATTTTGTACTCTTGGGACCATATATGCAGAAAAACTGAATAAGAAATTTTTGACTTGAAACTTTGTTTATAAGCAGCTTTTGGAATCATTAGAAAATCTCAAAAATTTGAACCAAAAAAGAATCGTTTCTTCTTGAGATATCCAATCCACTAAAACATCATGATATCTAACAAAAGAGTACAGACATTCAACTTTTTTTTGCGGATTGGATTCTTCAAGAAGAAACAACTTTTGTTTTGGTTCAAATTTTTAGGATTTTCTAATGATCTCAAAAGCTACTTATGAACAAAGTTTCAAGTCAAAATTCGTTTGTTCGGTTTCTCTACCAATGCAGCCCAAGAGCACAAAACTTCAGAAGGCTGGCGTATAGGAAGGAATTTTTCTACGCTACTTCTGGTCTCAATAGACCTTTTCTAATGATGGGCGTTTCATCTCAAATGCGAGATAACACCTGAAGTAGTTCCTTCGTAAGCCTGTCTTCAATCATCAATCTACTTAAAGTGTTCACCTCCCTCCCATTACAGACGTTGGCAATGGAGTCAAACGTCATTAAGTACGTTGTCATAGCAACTAAGAACAGCACGCAAGAGACTCATTTTTTATAGTTCCTTAGCAATGAAAAAGATGCTAAACGGCATCAACAACAAAGCCTTGCTTTAAATGTAAATGAGGCTTATTTGTCAGTTAAATCAATTTTAAAATAATAGTAAAAATAAATAAATTAAGAAAAACGAACAAATAGTAATAAAGTAAATGAAAAGAAGCGCGCCCGTAAAAAAATAAAAGCAAAAATTCTTATTGAAATGCAGAAATAAATAAGACTGATCGTTTCTCTGACGATAGATTATTCTTGTAAAGCAACTATCGCGTGTGAGAGATTTTTCATTTAACATATTTTGTATTAGCATCACGAAGCTAAAGACGATATCAGGATTTCACATTTTAGCACAAAACAAAGCTGTGCTGACAAGCTTTTCTGATAGAAAAATATTCAATGAAAATATTGTAGATGAAGATATTGATATTCTTTCAAAAATATCATTTAGACTTCATCTTTCTTTTTAATTAGATTAGCATAATTTATTTTTACCTCATGAAATTTTGCTTCAATATTGACAAATCGATTGCGTGGCGATGCAATTAATGAACATGAACATTTCAGTTTGTTTCCATATTTTTGTATGAGATCATTGTATAAGTCTAAAGATAGACTTTGAAAAGTTTTTGTCAGGGTATCAGGTTGAATTATGATGTAAATGGCAAAAATAGAAAGATCAATAATGAACAGAGCAATGTAGAGACGAGTAGCCCACTGACCAAGACGTTTAGTTGTCATTCGATCAACATTACTTCCAAAATCTCGCAGAAGAAATATGTGTAGATTGACCAAGGTAGTATACAAAAGTTTGATTAGATTCTGCCTAATCATTTTTACTTGATCCAACCACTTGAGACGAACTATGCATAGAAAAACAAATGTTATATCCTCTGTTGTTATCAAATAAATTCAATGTTTATGTTGCTCAGAATGAAAAATTCTTTAAAAAAATGCAAAATTTTCTCAAACGATACAAAAAAATACTCCTAAAATAAATAAAAAGAAACGCGGCACACTCTTTCATATCTTAACTTCTATCCTATATTGCAAATCCAACTTAAAAACTCATCTGACAGTCGTCGAAAATGATAATTGGAAGATTGTGATGGCATCTCTTGTTAAAATTTAGAAAACTTCGAGAAAAACATCAAAATAAAAAAAGACTTGTTTATCTATATGACTAGTGGATGAAATTTGTAATGCTTTAGTCAGTCTTATGATTAAATGAAAAGCATTACAAAGCTTAATTCGACTAGTGAATGTTATATTGAGAGATTTTACTACTACAGATCTTCACGTAGGACAACTGCGAGAAAAATTCTAGAATTTCTGGAACTGTATGCATATTGATATTAATTGATTTCATACGATACTATTTCTGTTTAATTCAGTTTAAAAAACATTTTTTTATGCGCAATGCTCGGCTCTAATTTAGAAAAAAAAGAATTCAACTGAAAAATTATTAAAAAATTTATCAAACAAATTAACTTTGAGTTTATCTAGACTCAAATTCAACGAGGCGAATGATATAGTTCTATAGTTTTCAAATACAAAATCTGTTAAACTTATTTTAAGAGACTTTCAACAATGAATTTAGTAATTAATTGTTAAGTATCAACGTATATTACGAAAAACTTATTCTTATCTTATAGAAATTACATTAGATATAGATCTTTATTCTTTTTATATACATTGAATCAGCAATTATCTCGTTGTTTTTGTTGTTGTTGTGGCCTTTTGATGATTAACCCATATAAATGAAAAATAAACTTAACAAGATAAGGTGTAATTATACGTAGTAAGACAGTAAGACCTCCGATCATGGATAACAATGTTGTCATCATTCTAATAATAGTTTTTGTGCGAATTTTTTTATAATAAATGCAGTAACTTGGTGCGCATGATTCATAAAAGCGACTATAGGAATAAGATGGATTCCATTGTTCAATCATTATGCTTTTAACTATCACTTTAATTGATGTATTAGGAAGGAAACGACTCAACATTGGATCATAAACAAGAGGACGAACATCAAACCATGAAGGTTGTGTTATACCACCAGGAAATGTCTTTCGTATGTAAATCATTAGAACACGAAAACAATCTGAGTCCGAATAGAAACACTCAAATGTTGAGAGCAGAAGAGAATCAATAGCAGAACAGCCTTGAATCCAGTTGGGCACTGTCTAAACAACAATGTCTTCTGAATAATCGACTGACGAGCCACTTGCCAACTCGTAAATTGCCACCGAACTCTGCCAATGCTGATTAGTAGCACAAATACAATTGACCAATATCGAATTAATATCATGAATTTCAATCAAACGAAATGTTGCCTAGAAGAAAAATAAAAGTCTTGGTTTCATTATAAATCAACTCTGGAAAACCATTTGTCCATTCTGGAATTAAAAACAAAAACTTTCTGAAAGATAAAATTCATCAGAAAATCTTTCTTGTGAAAAAGTTTCTAAAAAATTCAACTGTGATGAATCATGACCTACAACTTAGTAAAGAAGAAGAATACTCCATCTTTCGGCTACCTTGCAATAAATAGTCCTATCCGGAGACAATTTTATTAGATCAATATTTTTTTACTACAACTGATACTAGCCATAGCTTTGAAGAGAAGAGTAGTCTAGCACAATTTTTTATAACTTATTGATATTCTATTACCGTGTCCGTTTTTCTCTTTTTCATTTTTATGTATAAATGTTTCTATTTGAATATCATATATTCAATCTGTTATATTCACGTATTCTTTCTGTTGTTTGTTTTTTTTCTCTTTCTAATTAGATATATCTAGGAATAAAAATAGTAGACAAACATATTCTGCCATAGGAAAGTTATTCTTTGTCTACAAGTTGCAAATATAAATTAAATCGTCTGACGTTAAAAAGTAATCTTTCATAATGTTAACACAACGACAATGTTTCAGAAGTTCAGTATATTATGATATGTATGTTTTAAAAACTATGACTAAAGATATGTCAAGACAAAAATTGTCGTATCTATTAAACATATAATTTATTCTATGAATTAACGCATATTTTCCAATGAGAAAATTGAGTAAAAAGATAAAGTGAAAAATCTGAATATTATTACGATTCTCAATATAATATGATCTAAACTAACTCTGTTTTATTTTTGATTGAACTATATGCAATACTATTTCATAAGTCAGAAAATCGAATTCTTTTCTATTATCATGACTTTGTTAGAAAACTTATGTAATTTTATTCAAAACCACGATAAAATTTAGTCTTTTAATTAAGTATCATTTCGAACGGTGATGAAATTTATATAATGAAGTTTACATCGACTAAACACAACATTCTTGATTTCGATACATGTTCAAGTGCAACAGTTTTGTTTAAAAAATATTTTCTCTACATTTTCATGGTAAAGTTACTTTTGTTAAAAAAATGCTAATGCTTTTGCATTAACATCATGTTAACATCTGTCATGAGCAAGTAAATGTTTATACCTCTAACAATTTCTGATTGTTCATGTCATATATTACATTATTTACGATTAAGTTTGATTCTATTGCATCGTAAAACATTTGCCGTGATCCCATGATCGAGCCCAGCAGATTATTTATCATTTCAAGCTCTTTCCGTTTGTGAACAGATGTCAAATTAAGCGATTTCGAATATATTTCTTTCGCTTTTTCGATTTTATCCGTCATGATCATCAGGTATCTTAATTGATACCATCCAGTTCCTTCTCTGATCTCTTTTCGGAGAGAGTCGGTAACACGTTTCAACTGTTGATTACTGTCACAGGTTAATCTTAGCTGCACTCTCCATAAACGATCGCTAGTTTCTTTCATTTCACTTATTTGAAAGATAGTAAGCATCAAGAAAAGGATCTCCTTCATAGGAATAATAACTAGCATTGCGCAATGAAGCAAACGGTGTGTATGAAATCGAAGGATCGATTTCTATTTCAAACAAAATTCCTGTCATATTGACTTGCTGTGAATTACTTTCTGCCGACATCAAAGCAGTTGTTTTGTTAATGCTTGTAGACAAGAAATTGTTGAATGATAGTAGTCTACCCTTGCTATTTCTCATTTTTTCAAATTCAGTAGTCACCATAGCCTGTCCACGATAGACAATCAATTCTGCTGGATTAATTGTATTTGCATGTAATTATTCGATCTGTCGATGAAGATCTCGAATAAAGAATCCCATTGGAATTAAAATGTTGATGTCTTGAGTTCTTAAAGCCTTATTTAAAGTTGAGTAGATAAAAGTCTCTTTTGTGTACCATCTAATTGATGAACCGCAGTCATAGTCTTGTGCAAATTTGTCAATCAATTTCGGTTGACTACTATTGTCGGCGTATTGATGACGTAAAGTTGCCATTAGTTCTTCAATTTCTTCGACTCTATTGTCGTCCTCCATTTCTAGAAGAATCTCTTTCATTTGTTGAAAATACATGAATGATTGATCGAGTTCATTTAAATCTCGCATTGAAGCATCGATCAAAGAG